TTTCCAAGTATTGAGGATGCTACAGCGTATTGTAGAACGAATCAAAATGATAACTGCTGTAAATCAGATGCATTAGGAGGTTCTATAACTGATATAGAGGCATTGTTACCAGGGTCAGTTATTATCAGCATTGAAACAGGCACAACCAGTGTCACTTCACCAACAGTGGTCAAAGTTTTTACAACGGGACCTTCTTTAACTCCATCATCGTTACCTGGAAATGTATCAGGTGCACCAGTGGATGGAAGTATTGCAACAAGTGAAAATGCCTTCACTACACCAGGTATATAAATTAAAATTTTATTGATTTACAAAAAAAAAAAAAAAAAAAGTTATTATTGGAATTGCATTTGCAGCATTTATTTTTGTTTGTTCCATCTTCTTATTTTGCAAGTTATTAAGCAGAAGAAGAAAGGATGTTAAACAAAGCAGAATTAATCAAAGTAAAATAAACACTTCTTCAATTGAAGGTTCCAGAAATGAAATGTCTCCAATTCCACCTGCAGATAACATTCCCCAGATGCCAGTGGCTGACACAATGCAAGCAATTTATAATTACGTACCAAATTTAAGTGATGAGATTTATCTTTATATTGGAGATCCAATTATTGTGAAAAAGTAAATTTTTTTTAATATAAAATGAGTGTTTAATATATTTTTTCTTTTAGTAAATTTGATGACGGTTGGGCATTAGGATATAATATGACGACAAAGCAGGAGGGAAGTTTTCCATTGGCATGTGTTGGACCATTTAATGATGGGCAGCGGGGAAATGGGCCTGATCCTAGACTATCTTCCAGAGTTTCTTCAATCTTTTCTCCCAGTGAGACTGGTGATTTGAAGAATATGTACCATTAAATTCCCCAAAAAAAAAATTAATAAATGTAAAAACTTTAGAAAAAAATTTATTTTTAAATTGGAATATAATTTTTTTTTTTAAATTAAGTAAAAAATAAAATAAAATAAAATAGATCAAAAAAAAATTATATAATATGAATTAAATAAAAATTTTTTTTTAATTTTTAAAAAAAAAAAAAAATTTTTATTTTGATGGAAGTTCAATTGTGGTACTCCTATTTGAAGAGGCTTCTTCCAAGTTGAAGTTGGTTTAACACTTTCTGCAACATCCAGTTCGTTACACCTTTTTGAGGTGCTGCCAACGATCTGATTTTTAATATCAATAAATTGCGGTACTCTTATTTGGAATGGCTAACTTGCCGAAGCTGATTTAGCACTTTCTGCAGCATCAGGTGCGTTACATCTTTTTGAAGTACTGCAAAGTGATTCGTATTGTAAATCTTTAATATCTGTCGCCGATTTGACTTTTTTTTTTTCCAAGTGATTTTCTAGTAAAACCTCTTCTCAAACTTTCCTATTCAGCAAATTTTAAATTTTCATCTGAAATTTGAATGTTACTCTAATTTTTACACTGAAAATTGTAGATCTTCATCTTACTAATACTGGAATAACCATTTCCCATCGCTGCATAGTCTCTCTTTTCATTTTTGCACTTAATGTTTTCAGGTAATTGTAATTCACTAATGCGGTAATTAAATTGGTTTTTAAGACCTTAGTTAAAACTAGTCAAAGCATCTAAGTCATCAACAGGGTGAAGGAGAAATTTTGTAACCAATAAAAAACCTTCTCTTTTTCTTTCTTGAGGTAGTATAGACTTTCAGCCTGGGAAGGTAATGTTCATAAGGGATCTTGCATAATTATTTTGCTTCAGTTAACAATCCAAATGTTTCTCATTCTCTAAAAGTAATAAAAAAGTTTTTTTAAAAAAATGTAAAAAGTAAACTTTCATTTACATTTAAAACTTCATTGATTAGAGATTTTGAAAATAGGTGATATGTTTGGGACAGTTGTCCTGAAATTTTCTTTCTAAAATACACTTTGTGAAAACTCGAAAATGTCATTCTTTGTGTTTGGTATAAAATGTCCTTTCACCAATGAAAAACCCAGGGTTAAATGTTCACAGTTACAGATAACAAAATGTCAAACCAAAATTTTTTCGGAGAAATAGCTGTGGAAATGGAAAAAGAAAGGTCCTACGGCGATTCGAACGCCGGCAGCAGCAGTCAAAGTGCTGAATCCTAACCACTAGATCATAGGACCGTTATGCCACTAAAGGCTTTATGATATTTGTTTATTATTTATTTATTAGTTTTAGCAAAACTTAAAAGTCGTTAAACAATAATCTTTAGATTTCTTTACAACGACTTAAATTATTAACTTAGTAATTCTTTTAATTAAAAAAAGACTATTGTAGAATTTTTGATTCATACTGGATAACTTTTCCCCAACCTTTCATAATCTTGTATTAAAAACACCAACAGATTCTTTAGAAAAATGGGTTATTATCAAGCAAATTTAACCCATTTGAAACTAGCCGAATGCTTTATTGCAAATAACTTGCCTTATTCTTTGACTGATGACTCTTCATTTAGATCCTTTTTAAAATGTTTTAATTTTTCAGTATGAACCTCCTTCCAGACATAAACTTACAAGTTTGGTAATCCCAGCTATTGTTTTCGCAAGTAATAGATTCCGAAGGGAAAAATTAAAAGAAATTAAATTTCCTACTCTAGTTTTTGACTCTTGGAATAATAGAAAAAAACACCGATAACAGAGATAATATTCTCACAACAGTATATTTAGGTTGTTAATATTAGGGTATAGGATATATATCCCAATAGATTCTGCGTTACACAACTTATGAATTATGCCTAGCTCATCCTCATTATTTATCATATACTTCATTATGTGGATTTACGTTAGTTAAAGATGATTAGGAATTTAAGATTGATTTGATAGATCAGTCAGGTTTTAATCATACATCAGATAATTTGATGCCAGATGTATTGGAGTATACGGTAACGCTGGAGTTGAAATGGATAAGGTTTCATTAAAAGATATTATTCGTATAATAATATTTTTATTCAATTCACAAATAAAGATGTTGTTGGCTTGTTGAACAGATAATGCTGCAATTATAACTTCACTTAGGTCAAAATTTTGGGCAGCAAATAATAATGTTGTACATGCAATGCGTTCTCCATAAATTAAATAATTTAGTAAAGAATATTGCCAAATATGAAAGCGGAAACGAAATTGTAAAAAAATCTTTAAAAATTTCAATTTTTTCTAGGAAGAGTCATTATTTGGTGACTTCCTTTGATCAAATACGGCAATTAATGAGATTGATCATTATTTATCACAGTATGCAGAACTAAATGGTTTTCTATTTATTGTGTGTTGGTTGGAGTTAACTCCTTTAAAAATGTTTTTCAACAGTTGTTTGACTCTACAAATAATGCCAAAATCGAGGAGAAAATTGTCATAATGTTAAATGACAAAATTTTTTTTCTCCAGTTGGACTGTTATCGAATTGCTAAGACATGTTGTAGATGTTATTGGTAGATTGGAGAGTAGAAATTCTAATATAGGAGATGCTTTGATGGAATTCTTATGCATTAGATATAAACTAGTCTCTGTTGAGAATGTAGGCAATATTTTTTGATAAAAAATGCTTGGCATGTTTTTTCTCAAAGGTCCACTGTGCTCTGGAAATCAACAAAGGTAAAAGGATCTACAGGTTGATTTTTTTCAGGGAGAGTTACTTCTTTAATTGACAACATCTGAATTTTCTAATTAAAGAAATAATTTTGTAGATAAAGTTTATAAATAGGTTCCCAAAAAGGTATACGGGTACTTTCTTTTGACAGAGTCTCCAAAACACAAATTTTAAATAACATAATAATTATAGAATACTTGTTGGTAAAAAGTAGTAATTGATCTTTAAATTCAAGTAATAACATTTCTACTACGCAGCAACCATTGTGAAAAAAGTTTTTCAATCAAGTTGAGTTTGAAAAAATTTTTTAGTAGAGGTGTTATTTTTTTATTTTTCATTATTGATTTTTTATGTATTTTTGGACGACTTTTTATACTTCTTTTTTAATGGATTACTCAAACAGTTAAATCCTTCTTTCTCTAAAACAAACATTTTTTTTTCTTTCTCACAAAATTTACGCTGATCCAATACGCCATGCCACGATGGCTCCTTCTTTTCATGCTTCACTCTTATTATTCTCAAAGTCTTTAAAAAAACTCTCAAAAAGTCCAAAATTTAATAGTCAAAAAAGTCTGACTGTTATATAAAAAAAATACTAATAATATAAAAAACTAATAATATAAATAAAAATGATAAACCTTCTTACCTGTTTACATCCTAATAAAAGTCCAAATCATTTTTTCACTTCTAATAAGTATTCTTAAATTTGTTAAAATTAATACTACCTTTTTTACTTTTTTTGTTGACATTTTCAAAGTTAAAATTTTTTTTTCTTTGATATAATGCATTTACTAGATTATAAAAAAGTAATTTTCAAGGTTTAAATGACCATATATTTTTTTAAAAGACAACTGTTAAAGTTTCCATTTTAATATTTCATTACTTTTTTTGAGAATTAAAAGTAATGCATTTGTCTTGCCAGATTTCTGGTTCACAAACCCTATTGTTGGAGACTTGGAGTATTGCTGGTAAAACACTGGAAACAAAGGAATTTTTAATACTTAAGGATGAAGATCCCACTTGCAAGAAGTTTTGGAGATTTCTGGACGTTAGGCTTATCCAACCTCTAAACGAAGTGCTACCACAGAAGGCTTTAGCAAGCACTTCAGGAAATTTTCTTGTTATCTCTTATATAAAGGTAGTATTGTAAAGGTACTAATAATACTATGTAATTAATTCAAATTTATAAATAATTTTTCAGTAATTTTTATCATCATTTTTATTTGCACCGAATGCATTTGCTGCCTACCTTCCACCTTAAACTAACGAGGTTTGTTCTCGCTGTACACGTTCAATTGGTAATACTATTATGGATTCAAAGCAAAAAAAATTTTTGGAACAAAGAGCTCTGAAAAAGGAGTTTTTGAAGGCTTTCTAAAGAGTTTGACTTCTATTGGCCCTTAAACGTGGCAGCTCTAAAGGTAAACAATTAATGAATTTGATAATCTTTCTATTTTCACAGAAAACGATGGTGTAACTGAGAAATACTTATTTGAAAAGAGAATCAAGTTTGTAATAAAAAAATTTCTTCTTAACAAACCATCTCTAAAGATCTGATGGCATAACATTAACAATAGGTAGTTGAAAAGTGCTCCTGAAAAGGAGGTTTTTTTTTCGATTTAATGTAGGTAATCCAGAATGAAGTAGCTTAACACAGACTGAGAGCTAATGTATTATAAATAGACGATAGAAGGATAATTCAGTAATATAGTGTATCAACGTAATTTAGTATATAATAATGCACTACTAAAATGCATAATATAATTCAGTATATAATTCAGTAATATAATTCAGTAATATAATTCAGTAATATAATTCAGTAATATAATTCAGTAATATAATTCAGTATTTTTGGAAATATATAAAGTAGTTATAAAAGAAAATGAATAGCGCAAAAAGAATACTCGGATTTCACTAATTTAATTAAATAATTTTTTTAGTCAATATAATATGATAATAGAATTTACTGCATATCAAACCAAAATATGCGGAGAAATAGCTGCGGAAAAATGGAAAAAAAAGGTCCTACGGCGATTCGAACGCCGGCAGCAGCAGTCAAAGTGCTGAATCCTAACCACTAGATCATAGGACCTGTTGAAAAATAATCTTGTGTAACCGTATTGACAAAGTCTTTTTAACGGAGTATTGATTTTATGTAAAAACCCTAGTAATTCAATTTAACTGAATGCAAATTACAGCATTTTAAAGTGCTGAATTCTAACTACTAGATCAAAGGACCATTCGAGATGTTACAAATTTTATGATATTAATTTGGTAAAGTAGACTGGATCAAAATTAAACTTCCTAACTGTACCAAGTTTAAAATTTAGCTGGAAAGGTCCTTCCAAATCATCTTGTAGCTCTACATCCTTTAAACATTAACACATATAGGTCCTCACAATTATAAGTATCAATAAGTCTTTAACTACAAAACTCATGTGAAAAAAGTAATTTGAACAGGTTGCCAATGATGCACCACTGAATTTGAAAACTTGGTTTTTTGTTAAGTATCTTATAATTTCTTTTTTTTTTTCTTCTTTTTCTCTCTGCTTATTTCTTTTTAATTATTTGAACATGGAAAGTTACAACTTTAACAAAGAAGAACGCTGTTTTTATTTCATGAACAATTTTATAAATTTACAATAAATAAAAACACATATTTATAAAAAATAATATCTCTTTTTAAAAAAAATTAAATATTTTAACCTCCATAATAATCAATGTCATCTAAAGCATCATTTTCATCATTTTTAAATGGACTTCCTGGACCATTTACAACCAAAAATGTTGAATTTAAATTTTTTTTTCCAAGGTATAAATTTTCCTTCGGTACAGAGTGACTGGTGCCACTTGGACTATTTCGTTTAATAAAAGAGCTACTTAAGGAATTCTCCTTGTTGTAGGATTGCCTTTTTATACTTCCAATGCTTGTTCCATTTAAATCAGTAAACTCTTCTTCTCTTGTACCATTTTTTTTACTAGCAATACTAATTTCTTCAAAGACGGTATTATGTGGTAAATTACTTATCCCGAAGTATGACAAGGCATATTTTATTTTACTAAAAAACCTCTCCTCCCCCACCACTTTGTATAAACCTGAGCAAACAAAATTTTGTAAACAAGAGTCCCTCAATTTAACAAAGCACACTGCAATATTCCGTGCACAAAATGATTCTACAATTTCCAGCAAAGTTTGCGTAGCACTAAAAAGATAAAAATACAGAAAAAATAAATAAATATATATAAATTTTTTTTATTAATTTAATTTTTTTATTCAAAAAGAATAAGGTAATTTTTTTTTTTTTTTTTCTAGCACCTCGCATCAATTTCGGTCATACCATGTACTTCAAAAATAATAAAACAAAGTTCTTGTTCTCTTGCAAAAGAAACATATGAATCCTCAAAGTAGCTTTCACCATTTTCCTGTTGTCTATGTTGAAAGTTTATATTTTCTTCTTCATTAAAAGCTAAACCAGGATGAACTCCCAAAGCACCAAACTTTTCCACTCTTAAAAAAAATTAATTAAAGAAGAAACTATTA